CATGTATGTATAGTTATTAGCCTCAAAATTTGAAAGCGCCCGCATGATTAAATAAAGATTAACAAGGCCTTAACTGGCCTAAGACACAGTTGTCTGACATCTATTCTTCACTAACAGAACAACAGTTAAAGACTACCATGTTGAAATGGGACAATACACATGGAAATATAGAAGTAAAACTCAAGCGCAGTGGTTCCCAAGTGGGGGCCCCGTAACCCCCCAAAGGGGCCACAAAGCAATTGTGGGGGGGCCACAACGTTAGGCTCAAAATGATCTTCTTTCAATATCAATAAAACAAAAATCGCAAAAAATTTTTGATACATTTAATATCATGAAAAAAAAACTTGCCAAACTCTGAAAATTTAGAATGTGCTCCAAACACTAACTCTGAAAAAAAAAGATGTTTGGACTACAAAAAATCGAAAAATATTTCAAAATATCGAACATCAATGAAATTGTTTCAAACTCTCACCATACAGGCTAGCCTTCATTACTAACACCGGTGAAAAAATTTAATAATCAAAACTTACAACTCTTCTACACATTAGCTGCTTCAATAGTTTTTTATTTCAACTTTGTGTCTGTTTATTAAGTTTAGTTAATTTCAGTACGATTTCTTTGAATAATCATTGAGGTGTGACTGGCAGAATAATCTAATGCTAATGTAATGGTGTCAGTGCTGCTATTTTCAAGCTTCAATACTATTTCCTTTAATATTAATTATTAAGGCGTGACTGGCCAGAATATTCTCATGCTAATGTAATGGTGTCAGTGCTGCTATTTCCAAACTTCAGTACAATTTCTTTTAATATAACCATTGAGGCGTGTCTGGTCAGAATTATCTACTGCTAGTATAAAGGTGTCAGTGCTGCTATTTTCAAACTCCCTTATTTTTGGTGTTGAATCACACTGAAGTTAACTTGACCTCTTTTTTAACTGCTGCATAGTTTTTTAATGTGAATACTGTTTCAGATTTCATTTCTATGATCGTAATTTTCAAAAATCAGAATCTGGAAAAATGTAGTAATTCACCTTTCTCATACCTGATTTAAGACCAGGGCTTCAGAGCCGGTGAAATTTATAATCGACTGCCGACTTTATGTTGGAAAAATTTTTCATTCGGCTGAACGTAGGGAAAATTAAATCTTGATTATGAAACTCTGGCACCTGCAAGTTTCCCTAATTGTTTATTTAAAACGGTGAGGTAAAGCATACCCTCTAAAAATGGCTCGGAACGATAATTTTTTTCGTGTGTGTGTGTGCACTCTTATTGTGAGAACGTTAGTTTGAGTACCAACTTCTCATTCACCGCTATGTTTCTTTATCATAGATGTGAGATAGCTTTGGCAATACAGTGGTTGCCTTTAAAGTTCACTAAAAATGAGTCTACGTTGCTTCTGAGTGAGTGTAAACACCTTGCTTTGAGCAAATTATTTCTCAGTCAAGTCGCTTCTGTACCGGGTCAAGGTTGATGTTTAATTAATTCAACTTTTTTCATTTTCTTCTTGTTTTATTAACACTGTACTTCTTAGCCCGGTGATGTTTATTCATTTTGAACTAATTTTTTTTGTTTTTTTTTCTTATTTCTATTCATTTTTGAGTGAATTCTGTTAGGGAAAAAGGGTGGCGTTCTCTTCAATGCTCAATTCCGAATCCAAAATGTTTCTGAATCTAAATGTATCAGGCCATGTTCAGAAACATTTTCCACAAATTATTGGGCGTTCCAGAAGTGTGTGTACCAATATGGAGGTATCTAATTTTGTTCGCCTATTTTACATCAAGTTGTGTAAAGGGACTGAAACCTATGGGCAGGGGGTATATTCACTTGACTAATACAAACAGTTCTGGGACTCTTAATAGAACTAAAATAAGGAAAATTGGAATTAAATTATGACCTGGCCTGGTACACATACTATATAATAAAAATTATGAATGAATAGCCCTAGTTTTTGTAGCAAGATAACTCTTTGTAACTAAATTTTATTTTTCTGCAAAAGAATAGGTTGCATAGAGCCCCATATTATGATCAGCGCTAGTAATTGTAGCAAGATTGCCCCCTTTTTGATAAAATTATGTTTTAATCATTATTACATCCTTCTGAGTTCTGACATTAAAGTAGATGTTGCGACTCCGAGGAGGTTCGAGTTTGATGGAAAGGATGCAAAACGGTTCTTTCAATGCTAAAGGTTGCTGACCCGTGCACTACGCCATTATGCTGATAGTATTTATAGATTAGTATTAAATCATGATTTCTGGTATTTTTCAGAATTTTTTTTTGCTAAATTTATTTCTAATCATGTTTGTAAATACTATATTTCTAATTAAAAATGTTATCAATTATTTTGTTGAAAATCGCTTTCCCTGGTTGCGATAATCACACATAAGAGACCACCACTCAGCCCCAATAGTAGTTACCCTGGCGCAGCAGTTCCTAACAAGGGGTCGTCGTCGTTAAATAGGGGTCACAAGGTGCAGAACAGATTCTACTTGTCCCTTGACAAGAAAACTTCCTAGTTTCGTTGCTTGATAAGGTTGTTTCACGGGGTCTAATCACTTTATTGAGCATGAATTGTTTGAAACTAATGGGATTTGGAATCTACCAATCATAATAACACTATAAATACCACTGGGCCACGAGGCTTCGAAACCTTTGGAAGGGGCCCACAAGCCATAAAAGGTTGCATAGTTAGCAAAGTTAATTTATCCTTGAGTGTCATTCATTGCTTCGAATGAGAATGCAGTAAGAAATTCTCTGAAATATAAAAAGTCACTTATATTTTCACTTGTTTTTGAAGTTTAACATTGCCTACCCAATTTCTTTTACACTGGTCAAAATGGCTACCGTGAGGTTTGAACCTGGGATCTCTAATTTGTGTCCCGCCAATACTGTCAGGTTTATCAGATTTTTATGTGTTCGCAACTTTTATTGTTTCCTTTACTGAAGGTTTGGCAAGTTTCTGTATGTGCCGACGCAAATTTACAATAATCAAAGCAAAATGTGGTTGATTGATTTGTTTTTTGAAGGGGAAGTTCTGGAACAAGTCAGGAATTTAGATTTCTAATTGTTAACTTGACAAAGCTTTCTAAATTAACAGTTACAGGAGGTTTGCATATGCCGAGGTATTTGGATCAAAAATTTGATTTTTCTGGAGCCCAGAGCTGGAGTCGAAAAATTTCTTTCTGGAAGTCTGAGTTAAATTGATCTATACAGACGCCTAAGATGATACTTAGATCTTCTAACATTGGTTCCCAAAGTTGATTGACCAGGGCCAAAATTAAAAGGGGATGGATACTTATTTGCAAGAAGCTGTGATACCAATTGGAACCGGAACCACTTCAACTTCAGCGAGCCATATTAAATCGTTCCGGACTTTGGTTTGTTATATGACTTGTGGCTTGTTATATGATCGAGCCATCTCTGTTTACCCTACGTGATTTCGCACCCAGTGTGGGATGCTGTATTTCTCTCTGCCACTTACTGGCTAACAAATTTAATCTCAACAACTTCCCTCTCTGGCACGATGAATACAAAAACGCTATCATGCCATCCATCCCATTGACAACTCTTTTGAAACTCAAGTTTAATTTAAAATACAAGTATTAAATCAGTAAGTACGGTGAATGTTTTACAATTAACAATCAGAAAATAAATAATATGTATCCACAGGTCATCTGTTAGAATATGGGGCTTATAGATTTTTCACTATGTAGACTTTTTCGACCCTAAAGTGCCCTAAGACGGTTTGTATTATGATTTTCGAACACCTATGGCAGGCCTGCACAACTCAAATTACCACGAGGGCCGCAAGCATAAATCTGAAGGCCCGGTGGGAAGGCCTAACTATCGATCGATAAGTATTCGGTTTCCAACCGATATTCTCGTTAATAGGTTGCTAATATGCACTAATGGGTGTGAGATTGTATACCGATATTGTTTTAAGCGTGATTCAGTCTGAATAATGAGATATCAAAATCAGGGTTTCCCAAACTGGGGAGCGAGGGATTTTAGGGGTCGCGAAGGGCACACCAATATCACACAAAGTTCGATATTTATTGAAACTAGTGCAAAACATAACTCTCACGATTTCGGATATGATCGGAGTAGCGGCGCGCTTCCGTAACAATACCGGCTTTTATTGTTAGACCCGAGAAGTGGCGTGTTTCCAAATCACCCGCGGGCCGCACTTAAGTATCTAGCGGGCCGTATGTTGTGCAGGCCTGACCTATGGGGTAGACTTGGGGAGTTAAAAAATGAGACTACAGCTCCAGTGAAAACTCAGGTACTCCTGAAGTATGTGAACCAAAGTGGCGGACACCAGAACGTACCAGTTTAGGCCACAATTTTATTCCAATTTTCTATATTCGTTCGGGGACTAGCCAAATGACTCCGTAGTATTTGTGCCTGAGATTATGGCCTAACCCTAACTTGGTACACATACTACGTTCTGGTGTCCGTCATCTTGGTTCACATACTTCGGTAGTACCAACTCTTGTGCATGGTTACAATGCTATCGCCCTATTTTTACAAGCGGCCACCGGCATCTAATGATATGGTTGGAACAACTTCCTATTTGGAAAAATGGTAAACGTAAGAAATTCTCTCATGTGCAAATCAATACCTGGGTGAAGTGCAAACTAGAAATGTGCAATCTGCGCTTAAACCAAAAAATTTGAAATATTTGTACGTAAAAACATTTGCTCACAGCTTTTTGAACTGATCGTAATGACATGAACTGCCCATGTCTTGCCTCAACCAGTGGGTACTCCCGTAGTATGAGTACCAGGTTAGGGTTAGGCCATAACTTTATTCCAATTTTCATTCTATTACGAGTTCGAGGATTGTCTGTGTTAGCCAAGTGAATATACCCCATGCCCATAGGTTTCAGTCCTTTTGCACAACTTGATGTAAAAAAGGCGAACAAAATTAGTTACATCCATATTGGTACACACACTTCTGGAGCGCCAATCAGTGTTTATGAGCGATGAATTCACACTATAATATGACTTTGCTATAATCCTTTATTATCTCAGTAGCTCTTGGCACTTTAGGGGTCGTCTGTAACTTCCCTCAGAACTTCTTTCAGTTTTTATTTAAAATAAAAAATAAATATATATGTATAAAAGTTAAAAAGATGAGACTATTGTGTCATGTGGGTGGCCCTGGCAGATCAGAAGAATGCTGGCTGTGATCTGTAAAATAGAAAAGAAACTCGTTGAATATTTGTCATTCATTGCAAGGGTTGCATGCTGCGGATTAAAAGTCTATAGTCTATAAAAAACTGGCTAACGTATCCCATACCCAACAAGGACTGATAACACTTTGTTTCTACCGTTTTAGGTTCAAGATACCACCAATTGTTATGTCATTATCACAGTTTGAGTATATGTATAGTCATAACAGTGTAATTATATCTGTATCTTGATTATACGAACCAGTATCAACATCAGCCTCTTGCGGGCTCTCCCTTCTCAAAATAATTTAGAACTTACCGTGATCATTACAATCATGTTGTTTCGATCGTTTCTTCTGCGCTCGCTCTTTCTTCGTTTTCTTCTCGTAAGCATTGTCATCACTATCGCTAGAATTATCATCTGACGATGAGTCCTCCCCAAATATCCGAGGTTTTTCATAAATACAACAACCTGTATGTAATATTTGACAGTCTCAGTATGCTTTTGTTAGTTATTATTGAAAACTGGTCCTACACAGAAAAAATACGAGTGGCATAAATAAACAAAACACGGGGAATGTAATATCTTCAACATGATAAACATCTTTATCAGATTATTTTAACGTTTATTGAAACTTCAATGGCTGTGGTGTTTCTAATCTGGTCACTCTGGCTACAGTTACCACTTGTTTGCTCCGAGATGAATCTAGATTACTTCTAGCTGAGTGTGCATAATGGCCATACATAATTTTATGTGAGTTCCCTTGGCTTTTATTTCAGTGTTTCCCTGTCATTTTGCTTAGATAATAATCTGTTCTACTTCTGAGCAGAGACCTACCTTAATCGAGGTGTAGTCAAAAAATAATTTTCTTACATTTGGAAGATTTCTTTCCCATGTGTTCATTGTCAATCGTTTCCTCTGTCCATCGAACATTTTGCTCAGACTGAGGTTTGCGAAGTTTCAAAACGACGCTCGGGCTCCTGGAGAAAAAAAAATTGAACTGTCGTGCTAGAACAGTGGTTCTCAGACTTACACAACTTTCAAAATCTTCTTGCTTTTCTATAAGGATTTTGTTTATTTTATTTATCCTGGGGAGGGAAAAGATGGTTTATTATTATGGCGTACCGAGAGAACACGATTCGAGAAAACCCTAGATTAAGATGAAACAAGACTATTAAGTAACTGCTGCAAGCTTGGTTTAGGATAAGACTTTTAGCATTTCTATACAGAGAATTAGAATACCGATAATACAACTTTATCATATCTTGCTGGTATACCAACAGGGCACAGTTCTCCTATTTCAAGGTGTCCCGACATTTTGTTTAATAAAACAAACACTCTGTTTGTCTCTGAAACGAGGGCACAACCGCAGATCGTGTCTTGCTTGTTTAAAAAATAATTTAAACCAATCTTGTCGGCCACCACATGATCTAAATTGTGTTTGTTTGCTGAAAACTCTCGAATGCAAAAGTAAAACTGTTTTACTTCGGTAAATCGAATCACTTTCTCAGAGGTATCAAATGGTGACGTTTTAAATTGCGCTTCCTTTTGGTTTATTGTAGCGATATGGAGGCCCAGATTGTCTCATGAATGAGGGGTTGCACTCACTGTCATAATTGTTGTCTTTTAATGTGGGGGCTATTCTTGAAATCAGAGAACTGTGTCGTACTGTACACCGTAAATATATAAATGTTAACCCTTCACCTGTGAGATTGTTGTGGTCAATGTTTCTTCGCTTTGTGTTGTCCTTACTACCGTTGCCATTATTGCTGTTTATGTCGGGAAATATTCCATTTCTTTCGAGGCAAATTTTTGAAAGCAGTTGGACATATGACCCCAAAACGAACCTTTTTTAATGAGGTATAAATTATAAAATTTAGGCATAAGTAACCATAAAGCTGCCATTGTCTGTCCTATACATCTATACTGTGAAGTTAGTCATATAGTAAAGTACGATATGTAAAATAGATCAATTAATCAGATAAATTAATTTCGTTTTATTGTAAATTATTTTCCGTCAATTTTATTTTTGTCACTCTGACATAAAAACAAAATAACGACGCCATGAGGCAACGCCGTTCCGATGAAGTCCTTATCTAAGGTTTTGTTTGCTCTCCTAATTTCATAATCAGTTTTTATTTATTTTTTTCACCAATCATTTTATTGTTATGCTGATTATGAAGTCGAAATAAACTTATACTTAATACTTATAGGTTCGACGCCACAACCCACGAGGCATTTCACCAAAACGTCGTGGCATGTTGCTTTTTGACCCCGTATTGCCATGGCGATGACAACGAAGAGAGTTTATTCTACGGTAATTTGCTGTCTTTGCACAGACGGTTTTTGGTGTATTTCGGTGATTTTGCCGGATAAAACCAAGCTGGACGGCAGAACTATGACAAGCTGACGCGCATTACCTGGAATAATAACAATTTATTATAAATACCATAGAATTCTTCCCACTACAGTCTACAAGACTAGTTGAATCTAATATTTTTCTCCTAACTGACTATATTGTACATATCGTCGTTGTGTGTTACCGTGTTTTTTGTCATAGTTTTATTTGTATAGCGTATTTCATGTCTCTTATCCTATTATACCGCACCAGTCCTAAACTCCTGTTATAATTGTTAGGGGTGCATATCGCGTATCTGTGTCTTAGGCCAGTGAGGTCTTGAACATGTATCTCCTCTCGTTTTTACTGTTTAATTATTATGCAGATGTTGTTACATTTTGGGGCAAATAAACATACATACATAATCATATTCATAACAGTTGTTCGTCTTCATTACCTGAACAATATAAATTAAAATACAAGGTTAAATATGAGTATACCGTTGTATATTGATGAAGTTAGTAAATCCTTATTACTGGAAAACTATCTGCAAAATGGATATTACAGGAGTTTGTATTGAAGTATTGGATAATTTCTAGTCGGAAATACTATCATCAAGAAAAATAAATCTGTAAATGGGATTCCTGGACTCATCATGGTATGGATATCTCTTCATTATACCTGTTTGAATATACTTGTTGTTTATAGCAATATTCGAAAGCCTAAGATAGTGACATATACTCTAGGACAGGGTGTGTTACAGGCAGAAATTTAACTTTCGTGAATTAACCTATTAGTTTTAGTTATTCTGGTCCCGATAAACATGGTCAGACTTGCTCTCGTTTATTTATTTGTTTATTTATATTAAGCGTCACTGACCGAGAGAAAGTTTGAAGTCTTGGCAATGATGGTGCAACATACTCTCTTATATCAGCTGATTGGTATTCATGCCCTTGTTATTCTTATTGTATTATACTAAATGTCCTATTTATTAGTGTGGGAGACAGTGCAATGAGGCCTGGTCACATGAATTTCTTTGTTAGTAGCTGCGATTACTTTGCGGCATTGAGTTGCAAATTGTAGGGTTTTGATTATGCTAATTTAGAATTGTTAAGATGTTTAGCGTTATTTAGTAATATAGGTTCTAATTGAGTTGTATGTCGAAGGCTAATTATACTCTTTTATTGTTTTTATGTCTTGTAGCTAAATTTAAGTACTGTTGTTGGGCTGGAGACACAAATATATTGTAACCACATCATACAATACACACCATACATTTACATACAGACATCAAGTTTTTACATTCACTGTGGTACACTGCCATTATACTTGCTGTGGAAATTTATCTATCTACTGTGGAACTTTTAACCTGATTGTGGATTTTTACTGGACTGTGACTTGTATATACTGTAAATATACTTTCATTACAAGTTCTTTCATACAAGTTGGATGTGTTTATGTGTGCGTTACTGCTGTGTCGAGAGTTAGCTACGGAAGTAGATTGACAAGACAGCCCAATAATCAGAAATAGGACCTGTAGAACCTCTTAACTCTACATTAAGTTACAATATAAGTCTCGACTGTTATCTCGAAAGTTTAAAGTCAAGTGAAGATGTCAACTGTTTCTGGATCAACTACTAAGTCATGTATGTCTGAAAGAGCAAAGGCAGAGAAGAGATTGCGACTTGCAAATTTGAGAAAGCAACAAATTCTGAAGCAAGCTGAGTTGAAACGTGAACAACTGGAGCTAGATGCCGAAGCCGAGCTGAGAAGTAAGCAAGCCGATTTGAAACGTAAGCAACTTGAATTAGATTCTCAAACTTTAGCAGCCGAAGCAGATGCTGAAGAAGCTCAAATTGAGTATGATATGCTGTCAAGTGCTAGCCATTCAAGACGGGGCTCAGTTATTGACGGGTCAACATTTTATGGATTTGAGGCTCAATCTAGTTCTGAGAAAGTTGTCAAGTCAACACCGATTACTGATCATTTGAAGTTATTAAGTCAAGATGATGTGGCTGATACGTCACTTCCGCCTCCTACGAAACCATCAAATGTGTCGGACTTTGATCCAGAGAAAGCAAATAGAATCTTGCGGCAAATTTTTACTCCTATGGCAAATGATGACAAAGGATGTATGTTGGATCCGAACGTTCCATTCATATCAAATGAGAATCATGTTCCATCACCTGCGAAGAATTTGGTGAGTGATATTATGTATGATCATAGATTTGATGCCAGTACAAATCAGCATCTCATTCCCTTGATTCCCACTGAAGTTGGAAATGTTCAAACTGAAGTGCCGAATGTTGAACCTGTAAACAGGTCAGCAGCCCATGATATTAAGATTGAGTCACCGGGTACTATACGAAGCCATACTAAGATGGAATATGGTACGCCGGATCACACTGTTCATGCAATGGCGCAGCTGACGCAAGCTTTACAGGGAGGAATGCTGAATGTAGCAAATATCATTAAGCAAGGTTTGATGTTCCCTCATATTAAGATGACAACATTTAAAGGAGAAATTCTTAAATATACAGAGTTTGTTCGAGAATTCAATACTTTTATTGGTTCGAGTCAATTGGATGTTGCTCAAAAATTGAATTGTTTGATTTCCAATTGTGAAGGTCCTGCTAAAGAAGCAATATTGTCATGTGGTTCTTTACCTGCAGAAAGAGGTTATGAACTGGCACGAAGTATTTTGCATCGAAATTATGGTCAGAGGCATCTCATAATTGATGCACATATGCAATTACTTACTGAAGGTCCCTCAATAAAGGCGAATGATGTTAATGCATGGGATGAATTGGTCACCCAGGCACGGAATTGCCTCATTGTATTCAAGGAATATGATGCCAGATGTAGTTTGGATGATTTAACTACATTAAGAAAGATTGTAAAGAGATTTCCAATACAACATTTATGGAAATTTGCTCACATTGCTAATGAGAAGTACACCAATGGAGATATTGTCAATTTTGATACTCTTCTTACATTTATGGAGACAGTTTCAAATGTGAATAGATCTGGATTTGGTAAGCTTGCACTTGAGACACATAAAGGAAAGAAATATGTTGACAGTCCGAGTCAGCGGGGCAACCGCAGTGTGTCATCATTTCTTATTTCTGAAGAGTCATCTTCTAAAGCACCCACAGCTGATCCTAAGTTGAGTAATGCCACGTTGAGAAAACCACTACGAGAGTGCGTTGTGTGCAAATCTGATCATCAGTTGTGGAGGTGTGAAGAATTTAAGAAAAGGAAAGCCAAAGAGATGTTCGAGATTGTTTCCAGAACAAGTTGTGTTTCAATTGTTTGCTTCCAGATCATTTTGCAAGCCAGTGCAAGTCAAATTATCATTGTAGAGCACCAGGTTGCAATAGAAGACATCACACACTGTTGCATGTTAATAAGAAGCCTGATTCAGTGAAACCAAATGGTAGTACAGATGTGCAATCACCTCAAGATGTGAGGTCTAATGAGGCCGGAGCTACGACCGCCAATGAGGCCGGTGTAACTTCGACTCAGTTGTGTGCTACTGAAGTTAAACCTGCCACCTTTATAAGAAGAAAGGTGGTTCCTGTGCGAGTATGGGGAACCGATAATCAATCATACAACACATATGGATTCATTGATGATGGCAGTAATGTTAGCATTATCAAAACTGAGCTTATGAAGAAACTTGGTTTGCGAGGCACCAGCGACCCACTCGTAATTAAGACGTTGGGTGGGAAAATAGAACATAAATCAAGTCCTGAAGTGTCACTGAATATTCAAGGACTCAATGAAACTAGGATTATTCAGATGCATGGAGTTCGAGTGTTGGACGATCTTCCCTCGGATTTGGAATGCAACATACCGTCTAATAGTGCGATGGCGAAATACGAATACTTGAAAGATATCAATTTTCCAAATGCAAAGAATGCAAAAGTTGAAGTCCTGATTGGTGTAGATGTGCCTGAAGCTCATGCGTGTTATGGAATGCGACGTGGGAGTAATTCAGAGCCATTTGCTGTGCATACTGGTCTTGGATGGGCATTATTCGGGCCAGATGGCAAATTTCATCAACCAAGTGTAAAACATCTTGATTGGATTCATTTGGATAATGAAGAATTGCATGTTCAGATGGAGCAAGCTTTTCGGAATGAATTAAAGGATTCTAATGTCAGCGGATTCGACACTTTACCATCTATTGAAGACAAACAGGCTTTAAAGATCATGAATGATTCAATTTGTACAGTGAATGGAAGATATCAAGTCAAGATTCCATGGAGGTCATCTAATATCGAGTTGCCTGATAATAAGCAAGTTGTTGAACGAAGATTTGAGAATTTACAGAGACGTTGTGTCAAAGATTCTGGATATTATGAAAAATATAAAGCCAAGATGGATGAATACATCTCTAAAGGATATGCTAGTAAAATTGAAGACCAAGATTTGATACACAAGAAAAATACAGGGTATATTCCTCACCATGGGGTTGGAGGAAAATTTCGAATTGTTTTTGACGCGTCTGCCAAGTGTAACGATATATCATTGAATGACAATGTTTTAAGCGGACCACCGGAAACAAGCAGTTTGTTTGGTGTCCTTACAAGATGTCGCGAAGAGAAAGTTCTGATCATTGGTGATATTTCTGCAATGTATCATCAATTTTTGGTTGCACCGGAAGACAGAGATTCTCTGCGGTTCCTTTGGTGGCAAGATGGAGATTACAATCAACCAGTTGCAGAGTATCGTTGGAATGTTCACATTTTTGGTGGCTCTTGGGCTCCTAGTGTATGCTGTTATGCCCTGAGGAGAGTTACTGTCGACAATCGAGATCACATGGACAAGGAAACTTTAAGTGCAATTAATGAAAATTTTTACGTCGATGATTTGCTTCGGTCAGAGCCAACCGTGGAAGATGCAGTTCATCGTATAAAGGATTTGTCCTGTCTTCTTGATGGTTCGGGATTTCATCTTACTAAGTTTTTGAGTTCTCAACCTGAAGTTTTGGAAACTATCTCTGAAGCAGATAGATCACCTACTACAATAAGTTTTAATTTGAAGAAAATATGTCACAGAAGGCATTGGGTTTACTGTGGGATGTATCTACTGATGCATTTCGTTTCGAAGTCAATATTGAGCAAAAACCATATACAAGACGTGGATTGTTGGCGATGCAAGCACAGATTTTTGATCCTCTTGGTATTTTGGGTCCTTTTTTGTTACCTATGAAGAGATTACTTCAACAATTATGTGCAGAGAATTTTACCTGGGATCAACAGTTACCTGATAAAGCTATTGATTTATGGAAAAAGTGGATGGTTCAACTTCCTGAATTTAGAAAAGTTTCTGTGCCAAGATGGTTCAAAGGCTCCAAATATGGTGATTGTACAATGCAGTTGCATACTTTTTGTGACGCCTCTGAAGTTGGTCTGGGAGTTGTGAGTTATGTTCGAGTTGAAAGCAAGGATGGCAATATACATTGTGAGTTTATTGCTGGGAAATCGCGAGTTGCACCACTGAAGTCCATTTCAATTCCTAGACTTGGGTTGTCTGCTGCTGTCATTGCTGTGAAACTAAGTGCAATGATTCAAAAAGAGTCAAAATATAAATTTGAAGAAGTCGTATTTTGGTCTGATAGTACATCAGTGCTGCAATACATCAATAATGTCAAAACAAGATTTAAAGTATTTGTAGGAAATAGACTTTCTGTAATACATGAGCATTCTACACCAAAGCAATGGAGATATGTTGGCACTAAAGAAAATCCAGCGGACTTGGCATCGAGAGGAGTCATGCCTGAGAAGTTAAGCAAGTGTGATTTGTGGTTCCAGGGTCCTGAATTTTTGAGAAAGAGTGAAGATTATTGGCCAGAAAGACCAAAAGTTTTGCCAATGAGTGAAGACAATTGTGAAATCAAGAAAGCACACCAGATGTTTGCTATAACACAGGAAACGATTGAGAAAACACCAGTCTTTTTCACGTTATTGAAGAGATATTCATCTTGGAGAAAATTACAGAAGTCAGTTGCATGGTTGACACGTTTCAAGAAATGTATGTCATGGAAATTTGGTCATGCTAATAAACCCGAATTTTGTAAGGAAGGTTTAACTGTGGATGAAATAAATGCTGCGACTCATGACATATTATATCTTGTGCAGATGGAAATGTTTTCGGAAGATGTGTTCAAGATGGACAAGAATTCACCATTGCGAGCTCTATCACCTTGTTTGATTGGGGGCTTAATATGTGTTGGAGGTAGACTACAGCGATCTACTTTACCTGAGGAAAGCAAGCATCAAGTTATCTTGCCATACAATCATCCTGTGACTGATCTCATTATCAATTATTATCATTTACTGGAGGGACACAGTGGAACACTGCATGTCTTATCTGTTATTAGACAGCGGTTCTGGATCATCAAAGGTCATTCTGCGGTCAAACGTGTTCTTCGTCAATGTTTGAAATGCAAGAAGAGGCGAGCTAAACCAGGTTCGCAAATTATGGCACCGCTGCCTGAATTGAGAGTTAAACCAGGAAACCCACCATTTAGTGTAACTGGTGTGGATCTTATGGGTTATTTTCATGTCAAATCTGGTCGCAGTGATGTAAAGCGATGGGCTGTGGCATTTTCTTGCATGGCAAGTCGAGCAATTCATATTGAGGTTGTGAATAGTTTGAACACCTCTGACTTTATCAATGCACTGGAAAGATTTGTAGCAAGAAGAGGTCCTGTATTGGAGTTGATTTCTGACAACGGGTCAAAATTTTACTTCTGCGAATAAAGAGTTAAAGGAAGGACTGAAACGTTGGAATCAGTCTGTGCATGAAACCCTTAGTCAAAAGGGTATCAAATGGAAATTTAACCCTCCTGCTGCGAGTCACTGGGGTGGGTGTTGGGAGAGAATGATTCGATCTGTAAGGAAAATTCTGACTGCGCTTGCAGGGGAAAGACAACTGGATGATGCTATGTTTTACACATTTCTCACTAAAGTGGAGAGAATTCTGAACAATCGACCGATTACACCTGTTGGAGACGATTGCAAAGATCTTTGTGCATTAACACCAGCTATGCTATTAACTGGTCGTATCGATCCTGACTATCCATCAGATGTTTTTGTTAAAGCAGATGGATATCGAAAGTCTTGGAAATTGGTGCAGTTACTGGCAAATCAATTTTGGTCAAGGTGGACAAAAGAATATCTGCAAATTCTTCAATCAAAGCAAAAGTGGCATCAACCAGCAAAGAACTTTTCTGTTGGAGACTTGGTTCTGGTAGTTTATGAAGATACACCGAGAGGTTCGTGGCCAATGGCAATCATCGAGGAAACATATCCAGATCAATTTGGTATGGTTCGACGTGTTCGAGTCAGGACTGCAAAGTCTTCATATGTTCGTGATATTCGCAAATTGTGTCATCTTGAAGCTGTTTAATAATTTCAAGTACTAGTGAACATTTCGTGTTTTATTATGTTAAATTTTGAAGTTGAAATTTCTTGTTGCCTGTAATTTAAATTATTTATAATTAACTCTGTGTTCCCAGAGTTATTTAGAGGCCGGAATGTTACAGGCAGAAATTTAACTTTCGTGAATTAACCTATTAGTTTTAGTTATTCTGGTCCCGATAAACATGGTCAGACTTGCTCTCGTTTATTTATTTGTTTATTTATATTAAGCGTCACTGACCGAGAGAAAGTTTGAAGTCTTGGCAATGATGGTGCAACATACTCTCTTATATCAGCTGATTGGTATTCATGCCCTTGTTATTCTTATTGTATTATACTAAATGTCCTATTTATTAGTGTGGGAGACAGTGCAATGAGGCCTGGTCACATGAATTTCTTTGTTAGTAGCTGCGATTACTTTGCGGCATTGAGTTGCAAATTGTAGGGTTTTGATTATGCTAATTTAGAATTGTTAAGATGTTTAGCGTTATTTAGTAATATAGGTTCTAATTGAGTTGTATGTCGAAGGCTAATTATACTCTTTTATTGTTTTTATGTCTTGTAGCTAAATTTAAGTACTGTTGTTGGGCTGGAGACACAAATATATTGTAACCACATCATACAATACACACCATACATTTACATACAGACATCAAGTTTTTACATTCACTGTGGTACACTGCCATTATACTTGCTGTGGAAATTTATCTATCTACTGTGGAACTTTTAACCTGATTGTGGATTTTTACTGGACTGTGACTTGTATATACTGTAAATATACTTTCATTACAAGTTCTTTCATACAAGTTGGATGTGTTTATGTGTGCGTTACTGCTGTGTCGAGAGTTAGCTACGGAAGTAGATTGACAAGACAGCCCAATAATCAGAAATAGGACCTGTAGAACCTCTTAACTCTACAGGGTGGTCCAAACCCAGATTTATTATCTGTGGCCTGCGTCGCATTCGCAGAGTACCGGTAATTGAACGTGTTGTTTCATCATAAAATTAATCAGAAAAATGTGTTGACATATCGTTACATCACTAATGTCGCTAAATTGACTAGTGTTATGGTTAGCTGAGGCAACTAGCAAAGTTAAACGATGTGTTTGGCAGGCTAAATTGTTGTTTGACTTTTTTCTATCTTTTTGCTAACAATTTTAGCATCATAGAAAACTGGAAATTGAATATGTTCAATTAGCCAAGGTTGGCTATGCCTGATAACTAAACATTATTAATGTTATGGACTAACATTATATTTTGTCTAATGTTGTTACCTGACAATACATGTCGCAACCAGCCTAAACAGTATTGCAAAATATTCTCTAACCTAATTATTGGTAATCAATCAATCTGCAGTTATTTTTTAAATTAGAGTTCGGAAAAAAAGGCTGGCGAGTTTAAACAGATTTTTACCTGGACAAGGGGGGTAAATTGAATTAAATATGTTGAACATCATTGACTGTGATAGGTGCATACGGCGATTTGAAAGGTCGACTTATATGCGAAATTTTATACATCCACTATCTTAAAGCTTTTTATGGGGTCGGCTCATGTGCAAGATGTACTTATACGTGAGGATATACGATACATTTGCTGATGCACTTTTTTCGTTATGATTATGAAGAGTTTGAAATGTTACACTAAATTTTAATATAGGAATACTTTTGCAGGTTTATGCATGTTTTAGCTTGATAATTGACAAATAATGATGCATGTGTTTGCACAATATGTGTTTGTTTTGTATTGCACTATTTACGACATTATTGTGGCCTGCGAACAATGCAAAAATAATTTTGTGGCCCCCGGAGCTGTTATTTGTCTTATTCTTTTAAAAACTGACCAGTGCAGTTTTTCTGCCCTGTCGGGTTGGAGGGCAATAATCCCTGTCGTGGTTCGCCATATTGTTAAGACCATATTTCATTTTAAGACTTGTAAAATACCAAGTTTCCGTAAACCCGATTTCGTACTTAGGTAATATAATATCTAAAGAATAATTCATTTTTTATGATTATCGTTAAATATCATTATCTACCCAGACTTGGCCCTATTCAAACTTTTTTAAAATTTATCGACGACTTAAATACTACAGACACTCGATCAAACGTGCGTCTATCTTAAACGATAAAAATGGACCGAAAATATTGATCTTTTGAAAGTGACAAATTTTCACGTTTTGCGATATACCAGAAAATGGTATGATAATATTATTCGTGAATAATATTTGAGCTAAATTAATCGCAAGTAACATTTAACACCTGGCTTTTGGTTTACATCAGGGGTCGCCAACCTTTTGTCGCTCGCGGGCCAAAATTAAGGGTTGCAAGTCATTGGGGGGCCGCACATATTTTTAGAATGTTGAAAACCGAACGGATGATACTTTTTATGATTAAAAATCAAGCAGTGATACATCTCTAGAATAGAATAGAATGGGATCCAAAAACCAGCTGATTAAGCTGTGAAGCAAATACTGTCAGCTTCAAGGAATCTTATAAGTTTGCCATTCTGGAATTAGGATAAGCTAGGATAGGATTTACATATTTATCCCGGGGGAGAGGAAAGATGGCTCAACCATATGGCGATCCACGGCTTTCAGTTACCATTACGATTAGTTAGTTATTTGTTTTCGGAAGCATGGACTTGATGGTGGAGGAAGCCGTAACCGACCAGAGTTTACGTGAACCACCAAACGGTGTAGAGGAGTCCAGCAATCCTTTCACACACGACCATCCCCACATGGGATTCGAACCTGCGCACCCACGCAGAGTTATCAGAACTTTGGTGGCGAGCGTATTCCTAACGCACGATGAGCCACACCGCTGCGGAAAACTGTTTCCTGAATAATAATCACTTATAATTGTGTATGGACTGCATTACTAGAGCTTGCTAATACTTATTATAGGTTGTTCGGTTTTTTTTCTTGTTCATGTTACTGTGGAATTGATTTAATTTTACTAATTTTCGCATTTCTTTCTATTTTATTTGTATTGTATTGTGTCTGGTATATTCGATGTTTTTATGCCTTTTTGGTTAAGGTGGGTGGAACTCAACTATGAAATTTGTCCCTGGGTACTAGTCTATCTTGGGTAATGTACGGTACTCGGGTCATATTTTCTTAGTTAGTTTGCTTGATGGAAGCATTTGTGCACTTTAGTGTTGTAGAATAGGTTGAGAATTCTTGGGAAAACTTACCGGCAGGTTCTTCCTTGTCCATATACCTGTAAAAATAATTTATTTTGAAATAATTTTGTATGAGGATTTTATTTGGTTTTATTACATTTGCATGGTATTGTGTCTGTTATGTTTTAGCACAGTTTTTGGCAATTGCTCGGGTCGCGAGATGTTAGAAATATTTTTGGGGTTGTGCCAATCGCGCCAGAAAGTGCTTACAGACCCTGAGATAGGTGATATTAGTCCGTAAGTGGTTCAGCGCACAAAAAAGAACTCTGGAACTAGGCTTTTAGGATAGGATATGATTTACATATTCATCCTGAGGGAGAGGAAAGCCGATAAGACGGCTTAATCATATGGCGAACCACGGCCTCTCGTCCGGTTACCATTCCATGTCGGTCATGGGATTAGATAGTTATTTGTTCTCTGAAGCATGGACTTGATGGTGGAAGAAGCCGTAAGCGACCAGCGGTTATGTGAACCACCCTAAGGCGGCTAGGAGTCCTGCAATCCTCTCGCATATAACCATCCCCGCGTGGGATTCGAACCCACGCAGGGTAATCAGAGTTGTGGTGGCGAGCGTATTCCTAACGCTTAGCACGATGAGCCACACTGCCACGCCGCTTGTGCTGAGTTAAATGGAGTTTTAAATACTTTACTGTTGGTTGTTATTCTCAGTTCAAATCTGTATCTTGGTCAAAGTTTCAATTTTGGGGTGCAAGCACTTGTGCACTGAGACCTGTATTCCACCATTATTAGGGACTTCTTCAACAAGATCCATAAAATTTAGCAACGAATTTTATTTGTGGGCAGTTGATATGGAATTTTTTTTTTTTTTTGCTTCATTTATCTTTTGCCATTTCGAATCATATTTTGGTTTTAGTTTCATAGCTGTACTTTTGATGTACTTAAGCTGTCTTGGTTTTGATTTTATATTTGCGTTACTTCCCGAAGTATGTGTACCCAGTTAGCGTTAGGCCATAATGTCAGACACAAATACAACGGGAGTCATTTGGCTAGTCCCCGAACTTGTAACAGGGGCCATAATTTTTATTATGCGTCGGTGATTTTCTTTTTGTAAAAGGAAATTGTTCTGGATTAAATACTTACCAGACTTTAGGATGCTGGTTAGAGAAAATGAGTTCACAGAAATATTGTTGGTCATGATTCAT